ACACCTGCATATCATGTAGTGTTTCCACATTTTTGTCCAACCCCTGTATATTCCCCTATCTCAGTGATGGCGCACCTTTTAGTGCCCAAACTGCAACCCAAAACCCACTTATTTATCACAAAGTGCCAACACTACAATTAAGCCTGAATATTGAAGTTTTAGTTTAGAAAAAACAACTCATACATTAACATCTTTTGTCTTAAAAGAAAAACACAATAACAGAGCTTCCACTGACCACCAGCACAAGGGAGCAAAGTTCTACTGACCACCAGCACAAGGGAGCAAAGTTCTACTGACCACCAGCACAAGGGAGCAAAGTTCTACTGACCACCAGCACAATCTTCTGTTAATAAAAATGAATGTATTAACCACTTGACCCCCAGAGGATTTACCCCCCTTAATGGCCAGGCCTCTTTTTGTTACTCAGCGCTGCACTAATTCAACTGATAATTGCGCGGTCATGCAATGCTGCACCCAAACGAAATTTACATCCTTTTTTTCACACAAATAGAGCTTTCTTTCGGTGGTATTTTTTCACCTGTGCGCTTTTTATTTTTCACGCTATAAACAAAAAAAGGCCAAAAATTTTGAAGAAAAACAATATTTTTTACTTTCAGCTATAAAAAATATATAGTAAACTCAAAGTTAGTTATAAATTTAGGCCAAAATGTATTCTGCTACATGTTTTTGGTAAAAAAAAATCCCAATAAGTGTATTTTGATTGCTTTATGTGAAAGTTATAGCGTCTACAAACTATGGTATAGATACTGCAATTTACGCCATTTTTTTTGCTATACAGCACTGTGCTAGTTTACCAGACAATTGCGCGGTCGTGCAATATGGTACATAAATGAAATTTACATCCTTTTTTTTTCCCACAAATTGAGCTTTCTTTCGGTGGTATTTGATCGCCTGTGCGGGTTTTTATTTTTTAAAAAAAGGCTGACAATTTTGAGGAAAAAAAAACAATATTTTGGACCTTTTGCTATAAAACATGTCCAGTAAAAAAAAAAATTTAAAAATCAAATTTAGTCATAAATTTCTGCCAAAATGCATTCTGCGACATGTCTTTGCTAAAAAAAAAAACCCAATACGTGTAAATTAATTGGTTTATGTGAAAGTTATAGCGTTTACAAATGGCGGGAAAGATACTGGGATTTTTAGTTTTTTTTATACTAATAATGGCGGCGATCAGGGACTTATGGCGGCGATCAGGGACTTATGGCGGGACTGCGGCGGACATTCTGACACTGGGGGGGAACTGACTTGGGGTCACTGACATCCCCAGTGACAACAATACAGTGATCAGTGCAAAAAAAAAAAAAAACACTGACACTGTACTATTGGCACTGGGGAGGAAGGGGTTAAGTTTATTTTGCAGGGAAGGGTTATCTGTGTGAGGGGAGTGTTTTACTAGGGGGCGGGGGTGTGTACTGCACGGACACAGCTGATCGGGAGAGTGAAACTCTTCTGTCCCGATCACCGTGTCCTGGAGCTGTCAGGGAAGTGACAGAAAGCACAGCTACTGCAGCTGTGCTCTCTGTCACTGATTGCCGCCGATCGCTGGGAGATAGCCGGTAAGGACCGGCTGTGACCCGGCAACTGACATTCACGGCTTTGATCGGCGGGACAGGTAGGGCAGCAGGCGCGCCTCGCACGCGCCCCCTACCTGTTTACAAAACACACGTTTTAAAACGTGGTTTTGCCTGCCCATGTTGCCATATTTCTACAGTGGCAGGGCGGCAAGTGGTTAAAACTCACAGCCAGTCCAATATATATATCCTTGGCAGCACACTGACCGGCCATGCAAAAGCTTGGACAAGTTGCTGCTAATAAATCGTGGCTCGTGACATCATCGCCTGCCGCTGCTACTCCTTCCCGAGCATGTGCATGGCCCCTATGTGCGTTGTTATCCGATGCTCAGCTGCTGGGGCGACTTGGCTCGTGTGCTGACAGAGACACCTGCTGCGGCACACCTCCCATAAGATCACCACCACTGCCCTATCTTTTTTAAATCATTAAAAATTTTCAGTACTGACATGAAAGTACATTAATAAAAAAAGTACATACTTTAATAATTTTGGGAAACATTGGATTAGTGTATTATTAATTACATGCCTAACACTGTTGTGGAAACTGTAAGACAATTTTTCTTCCATTATATTCTGGATCCACAGAGGTCAACTGCAGAGACTTGCAACAGCCTCATAGAAACCTACAGATCCACAAACTGCAAGCTATATGTGGCCTACATACCTGTAATGTACTGTACATAGGGAAAGGTAAACAGCATGGTTCAGCATTGATGGGAGGTGGGGTGGCAAACCCTTTGATCACACTGCTTTGGATCTGCACAAACCCTCTGACCCTGCTGTTATGGATCTGCAAAAATCCAAATGGGACAAAGTGAAACAAGTTCAGCATAAAGGAAAATATGATGAGTAGTGCACTACATAGGAAAGGGCTTGTGTTTACAGGCCTTTAAGTGGTCCATAAAGAATTTATAAACAAAAATTGGTTTAACCAAAATATGCTTTTTTTACCACTACGTTTTCTTTTACATGGGGTTTAAATCATAAAGATTAGATGGAAGCTTTAGTGAAGTAGAACACTTTTGGTAGCATAGTTTCCAAGTGTGCTGGATCTTGTAGGACAGTCCTTGAATTTAAGGCACTGTCCCACATTGTCTATGTCTGTGGTCTGTCCCACAGGACCGAGGACACTTGGCAGCAATGCAGAGCGGCACTGGGTTGCTGGAACGCTCTTTGTCTTCCAGGACCTAGCAATGCAAAAGCTGTGGTACTGTAAAACAGAGAGATCTCCACCTGACATTAGAACTATGTCCTGGCATGCTGCGGAGAGGAGCAATGGCACAGGAGTGTGTGATCAGAAAACTATTGAATACAAAAGTGTGTGTGTGTCTGGGGGAGCACTAACTACCAATAACAAAGGGGTGTGATAATCAGGGAGAGTGGCAAAGGCGCAGTGGCATGTGATCAGGTAGCTCAAACCACTGCCTAGCAATTAAGTGGGGCCATTATTATTGCCACTGACCACCAATGAAGCAGGGAGAGAGGGTAAATATTACTGCCACTGACCACCAATGAAGCAGGAAGCGAGAGTGTGAATATTATTGCCACTGACCACCAATGAAGGGGGGGTGTTATTACTGTCTATTGACCACTAATGAAGCGGGAAGAAAGAGTGAATATTATTGCCACTGACCACCAATGAAGCAGGGAGGGAGGGTGAATATTATTGCCACTGACCAACAATGAAGGGGGGGGTGTTATTATTGCCACTGACCACCTATGAAGCGGGAAGAGAGGGTGAATATTATTGCCATGGACCACCAATGAAGGGGTTAATTGTTGCTGCCACTGACCACCAATGCTGAGGTTTATTACTACTGCCAATGACCACCAATGAAGCAGGGAGGGAGGGTGAATATTATTGCCACTGACCACCAATGAAGGGAGGGTGAATATTATTATTGCCACTGACCACCAATGAAAGGGGGTGGGACTATTATTATTGACACTGACCACCAAGGAAGGGGGGTGGGGCTATTATTAATGCCACTGATCACCAATGGAGGACAGAGGGTGAATATTATTGCCACTGACCACCAATGAAGTGAAGACAGAGGGTGAATATTATTGCCACTGACCACCAATGAAATGAGGACAGAGGGTGAATATTATTGCCACTGACCACCAATGAAGCAAGGAGGGGGGGGGGGTGAATATTATTGCCACTGACCACTAATGAAGTGAGGACAGAGGGTGAATATTAATGCCACTGACCACCTATGAAGCAAGGAGGGGGGGGGTGAATATTAATGACACTGACCACCAATGAAGTGAGGACAGAGGATGAATATTATTGCCACTGACCACCTATGAAGTGAGGACAGAGGGGGTGAATATTATTGCCACTGACCACCAATGAAGCAAGGAGGGGGGGGGTGAATATTATTGCCACTGACCACCTATGAAGTGAGGACAGAGGATGAATATTAATGACACTGACCACCAATGAAGTGAGGACAGAGGATGAATATTAATGCCACTGACCACCTATGAAGTGAGGACAGAGGGTGAATATTATTGCCACTACCAATGATGTGAGGACAGAGGGTGAATATTATTGCCACTGACCACCAATGAAGGGGGGATCCCCAATGCTGAGGGGGTTATTACTGCTCCCCTCACACCAATGTTAGTAGTTCCTATTACACAGTGAGGTTGTACTGTTTTGTCTATAGCATATAGCACAGTGGGAAAGGTACCACACAGAGTCCAACCATACACACCTTATTGACCACACCCACTTTTTTGACCACACCCACTAGCAGTTGGCACTGCGTCTGTCGCACTTTCATTTTCTCCCAATCATTTCTATAATGGCAGCTAGGTAGGTAGTATATTTTACCATTAGACCAATAAGAGGGACAACTAAGGAAAGAAGAGGACGGGGATTTGGCCCCAAGACACAGCTGGAAGCCATTGATGTCTGAAAACAAAGCTCCACATCCGTGTGAATTATCTGCCATTGTGATGACACGCCATCTGCTGGGTGATATGAAGTAGGACAGCTGCCTCCCTGTATAGTCCCAGTCGAGGATTAGTCTTGGCGCATTCGAAACTAGAGACACTGCGCCACCTAGTGACCATGTGAAATATCACACTGCCCGCTGTGAGTTCCCGCAAGCCGCCTCCTGTGGATGACCTCACACAGGACAGTTGACTGTCACTTTTCGAAGCTCATTTCTTTCAGAACTGTTCAGTAGAGCTTAAAAGGAAATCGTGCTAAAAAAGCGAGCGGCATCTCCTGACTTTGGGAACTCTCAGTGAATGCTGCTACCCATAGGACGCGCCTGACTGTCACACATACACAGCAAATGAACAGCGTCCTTCTGCTTCATCCGGAACTCTTCCTTCAGCACGTGTAAACTCCGGGAAGCGCATGTGACGGACAGGAAGTGACGCCTTTGACAGGCGACGTGCTGGGAAAAGATGGCGGCGCCCGGGAAGAAGAAATTGGTCCAGCAAGAGGAGCTGCGGCGGCTGATGAAAGCAAAGCAGAGGGAGACAGCGAGCAAGAGCCGGATCGAGTCCCCTCTGGCTAAATATCCTTTGTGTCCTGTGTGGCCTCCCCACCCTCATCCTCTACACCAGACCTCCATTATGGAGCTTACAGTTTGTTTGGACTGGATGGGACTTTGCCTCCCTCACACCCACATGGATGTATAACCTCTTCCCGCCCATGATGTGGCAGCAGGAAAAGTGGGCTTCAACGCCCAGCCCCTATACATTTGTTTCCATGGTGATGTGAGCGTCTCTCTGACAGCTGTCAGTCATGGCGTAGGATGGGGAACAATTGGCACAGGCTCCTGATCTTGTGATTGATGTGAGTGATAACATGATTGTGAAGCCGCTCTGTGCCCCGGCGTTAAAGTGGTTCTAAAGGCTCATGTGCTTTTTATTTACCTTTGTGACTTCTATGCACGAAGGTAAAGAACTCTCTGTTTGCAGCAACCCCCCCCCCCCAATCCTTACGAGCCCCCTCCAGTCCAGTAATGTTCATAATAGCCTCAGCTGTATGGGGACTCTCCCTTCTCATTGGCTGAGACAGCAGTGGGAGCCCGTTGGCTCCCGCTGCTATCAATCACAGGCAGTGAGGCAATGAGGAGAGAGCTGTGGGCGGGGCTGAGTCACGGCTCTATGTGTCTTATGGACGCATAGCACAGCGGCACCCCCAGGGCAAGCAGTTTTCTCTGGGGGCACTGCTCAAGGAGGAGGAGCCAGGAGCACCAGCGGTGGACATAGGGTTGCCACCTCATCCCTTTTAACCCGAACACATATTAATTACACAGGTTCTGAGGCTACTTTATTGCAGACAGGGCATTACGTGAGTTGAAAGTATTATTAAACCCACAATAGTAAAATCAGCCTGTATATGCAGTAAAGCATGCTTGTTGTACTCACTGTGGAACCTAAGGGGTTAATCCTCTGTAATGTGTAAAAAGGCAGTTTGATCCTTTTTTCTGTGTTCCTCCCCTTTTTCAAGCAACCACCTCTTATCTCCTGATAAGACAGACTGAACTGTAGGCATTTTGCACATGCTCAGTTTGGTGAGTGTTGCTAGAGGTTTTTTTTTTTTCTTGGGAGAGTGTATCTGATCCCAGGGACAATCAGCAATGGTTAGACAGAGGTCAGGGGTTCTGTATTCTCTTAGAGCAGAAAGAAAACTCCTCCTACAAGCTTTAGCTAGTGCTTGGCTGAACACTGATAGAAGTCACAAGACTGCTCTAATTTCTGATGAGAAAAGGTATTTAGCAGTTTATATTTACTAAAATAATTTCATTTCCATGTTCTGTGTACTGTGGGAGACCAGATGCAGTGAGTGCAGGGTTCTGGGTTTAGTAACACTTTAATTACCACCTTAATCAGCCACAGAACCTGTGTAATCAATATGTGTTTGGGTTTAAAGGGATGAGGTGGCAACTCTAGGTTGATCTGAAAAGAAGAGGATCGGGGCAGTTGTGTGCAAACCTACTACACAGAGCAGGTAAGTATGACATAGTATACAAAACAAGTATATATATATATATAACAAAGCTTTAGTATCACTTTAAAGCCCAATAAACTGGTTGTAAAGGCAGAATGTTTTTCTCCATACATTCTATGCATGAAGGATAATAAACCTGCTGATTGCAGACTCCAGAGGAACGGGAGAGGATGGGAACCATCGCGGGTGTTGCTAGAGGACACACACTTTCAGAGCCCCCCTGATCACTTTTTCTAAGACATGCTGGTAGGTTAATTGGTTCCTGACTAAATTGTCCCTAGTATGTATATGTATGAATGTGAGTTAGGGACCTTAGATTGTACGCCCCTTGAGGGTTAGGGACTGATGTGAATGTACAATATATATGGAAAGCGCTGTGTAAATTGATGGCGCTATATAAGTACCTGAAATAGATAATAAAAGCTCTTCATCAAAAAAAAAAGAGGGTAATCAAATAGGAAGTAGGGGCCGTGGGCTTGTCTTAACCCCTGCACTGTATATTCAGATGCTGACAGGCTCCTGTAGATCTACTGCTATACATGATTCTGCATTTCTGGGTAGGGAGTGCATGCATTCCTGCCCTTTCCACCCAGCTATACTTTGATTTGTCACCGCACATACTGATCACCGGGTCCTGGCCAGTGACTGACACCTGCCGATCGGCTCTGAGTCTCATGGAAAACAGCTTTGTGAGTGTAAACAACATAGAGCTGTGTTCAGTGACAGGGGAACTAGTTGGATTTTCATTCTCTGCTAAGCAGGGAATGAAAACAACTAGATACCCAGTTAAATCAGCACAAAGTAAACAAAGAAACACGTGTTAGGCTCTTATTTAACCCCTTGATAACCCTAGATGTTAACCCAGGGGTGGGCAAACTTTTTGACTTGAGTGCCGCAATGGGTTCATATATTGGACCCAGGGGCGGACTAGCTGCTGGCCGGCCCAGCCACTACCATGCCATCCATAGTAAGTATAGTAATATTCCCCCATAGTAAGCATAGTAATTAATCCCCCATATATAGTAATTCATCCCCCCTATAGTAATTCATCCCCCATAGTAATTCATCCCCCTATAGTAATTCATCCCCCATATAGTAATTCATCCCCCTATAGTAATTCATCCCCCATATAGTAATTCATCCCCCCTATAGTAATTCATCCCCCCTATAGTAATTCATCCCCCCTATAGTAATTCATCCCCCCTATAGTAATTCATCCCCCTATAGTAATTCATCCCCCATATAGTAATTCATCCCCCCTATAGTAATTCATCCCCCCTATAGTAATGCATCCCCCCTATAGTAATTCATCCCCCCTATAGTAATTCATTTCCCCCTATAGTAATTCATTCCCCATATTGTGTCAATTCACTTACCTTTGCTCCGCGCGTTCCTCTCGCCGTGTTCCCGCGCCGTTCTGGTCTTCAGGGCGGACTGTGAGAGGAGAGGAGTTCGTCACGCTGCCCCGCCTACATCCTGACAGCCAATGTTTGCCACGCTCCGCGGGCCGGATTAAAAGGTCCGCCGGGCCGTAGTTTGCCCATTGCTGTGTTAACCCCTTCCTGCCAAGTGCATATTCGCACTGATCACTCTAATAATGGCACTAGTGATATCAGTGGCAGTTAGTTCCCACAAAGTGGCAGTTAGTGTCAGAATGCCCACTGCATTATTGCAGTTCTGTTATAAGTCGCCTGTTATAAGTACTAGTATAAAAAAATAAATAAATGAAAATTCTAGTATATACCCCATAGTCTTTACACGCTATAACTTTCACACAGACCAATCAATATACACTTATTAACTTCAAGGTCAACATTTCCTAAGTCAGATATCATGTAACAGTGAGAGTTTTTTGCTTTCTTTTTTATGTAAGCTTTTGTCTGAATGTTTAGCTGTCTCCAGTAGGAAGAACAGAAGATCCTCAACTGATATAGTAAGGTGTCAAATTCAACCCCCCAGTATATTATTATAGTTGTTGTACTGCTTTGACTTATATATGGTTTTCAAAGTTTCAGCCAGTGTTTTCTGAAAACATCCTTAGATGTACACATATGCATTCCTTAACAATGTGTTTTCTACATATAACAGTCTTGGTCATTTGTCCTGTGCTGTGTGTAATGTACCAATTAAAAGTGAATTACTATGGCAAGCACACATTCTTGGAAAACAACATAAAGAGGTGAGGCTAATATTATTTATTAAAATTCTTTATACTGTGAACATTGTTAGGAAGTATGCCGATGTTGAACATGTTGTACTAGATAACAAAATGGCAATTATAGTTCCCAGGCACTGGATTGAAGTTAATGCAATCACTGTTGCCAGTGGAAAGATTTTGATAATGGACACTGACTGGTGTGTGTGTGTGTATATGTATATGTATGTATATGTGTATATATATATATATGACACACACACACACACATACACTATGTTGCCAAAAGTATTGGGACGCCCCTCCAAATCGTTGTATTCAGGTCTTCCAATCGCCTCCATTACCAAAGGTGTATAAAATCAAGCACCTAGGCATGCAGACTGTGTCTATAAATATTTGTGAAAGAATAGGTTGCTCTCAGGAGCTCAGTGAATTCAGGCGCGCTACCATGATAGGTTGCCACCTGTGCAATTAGTACATGCGTGAAATTTCTTTGCTACTAAATATTCCACGGTCAACTGTTAGTGGTATTATAGCAAAGTGGAAGCAACTGGTGTGCAGTCATGTTGGAACAGGAAGGGGCCATCCCCAAACTGTTCCCACAAAGTTGGGAGCATGAATTTGTCGAAAATGTCTTGGTATGCTGATAAAGAGTTCCCGACACTGGAATAAAGGGGACAAGCCCAACCCCTGAAAAACAACCCCACACCATAATCCCCCCTCTCCCAAATGTTGCACTTGGCACAATGCAGTCAGGCAAGTACCGTTCTCTTGGCAACCACCAAACCCAGACACGTCCATCGGATTGCCAGACAGAGAAGCATGATTCATCACTCCAGAGAACATGTCTCCACTGCTCTAGAGTCCAGTGGCAGTGTGCTTTACACCACTGCATCCGACGCTGTGCATTGTACTTGGTGATGTAATGCTGGGATGCAGCTGCTCGGTCATGGAAACCCATTCCATGAAGTTCTCTATACAGTTTTTGTGCTAATCTGAAGGCCACATGAAGTTTGGAGGTCTTTAGCTATTGAGTCTACAGACAGTTGGCGACTTCTGCGCGCTTCAGCATGCGCTGACCCCCGCTCTGTCATTTTATGTGGCCTACCACTTCCTGGCTGAATTACTGTTGTTCTCAGTTGCTTCCACTTTGTTATAATCCCACTAACAGTTGACTGTGGAATATTTAGTAGCAAGGAAATTTCATGGATGGACTTATTGCACAGGTGGCCACCTATCATGTTACTGAGCTTGAATTCACTGATCTCCTGAGAGTGACGCATTCTTTCACAAATGTTTGTAGAAGTAGTCTGCCTGCCTAGATGCTTGATTTTATACACCTTTGGCCATGGAGGTGATTGGAACACCTGAATCCAATGATTTGGAGGGGTGTCCCAATACTTTTGGCAATATAGTGTATAATATAGTGTGTAACAGAATACTATAGTTTGCATGAATGCAATCAATTCTATATTATTGGTTCTGTTATTTCATACAGCTGGAGTCTCCATGTGTTGATATGCCAGTGAACTCCAGACAAACAGCTTAATATACATACACAGATGATGAAAATATATACAGTAGATTGGATTGTTATACCTAGCAAAGGATTCCAATTTTTGTGTATCCAGTTCTGAGATTTACAAAAGTGCGCCATACATCACAGCCATGTCTGGAAGGATGGGAGACACGATTTTTCACTTCTGTGATTAAGGTACATTTAAATGTCTTGTCCCTCTTCAGCCTGTGATTGGACAGTGAAAGCACACTTAAGGAAAACTCCAAGAAAAAGAGCCCAAGAGTAAGAGCAGCTTCAGCCCAACTCCTCCAAGGCCATGTCCCCAATGCATTTTTCCCCACATACAGGCCTTAGGCTGGCCATTATACAAGTTTCTTTACAAGTTGTTTACAATTTCCTTTAGATATACCTTCCAGTGTGTAGTGCAAGGGACTGCCTAACTGGATACAATGGAAAGTGTTGTTTAGGTTTGACCTCCTATTATATGATTTTTGGTAAATCTAAAGAAAAATTGTACAAGAAAATTGTATAATCTATGGCCAGCCTTAGTCATAAGGGACTGGGGGTGGGGCAAAACACGGGAGTGTGACCTGGGAAGAGTTGGGCTGAAGCTTCTCTTATTCAATACAACTGGGCTGTTTTCTTGGAGTGCAGTGTCTCATCCTCTTTCCTTAAGTGTGTACACCAGACCAGGACCGGCTCTCTTAGTGCTGGCATCAAGAATCAATGTGAGTCACTGGAGTATCACAGGATGACAGCTTGGAGCAGCACTCATAGTTTGGTCTATGGACAGTGAAAGCAAAAGCAGCACACTGATGAGCTTAAAGTGAAACTTAATGGAGCTGAAACTTACCCTATCCTCCAATGGTTCTGTCACTCGCAAGCGCTGACATTTTCTCCTGTGCTCCAGTTTTCGGCAGTCTTCATTGGCCAGCACAGGATGACATCATTCTAGCACACACAGACCAGACCACTGCTGTAAGCTTAGCTGCGCATGCGTGGCTCAGTTTAAATTGCCAGAGAAGACAGCAAGCAGGCAGATAGGTGCATTTTATTGCAGAAGAGACATTGCACTTCAGTTCCACCTTAACTCTCTTCCACTCTGCTGTCTCCTCCCATCACCTTGATAGCATTTGAGCACTGCAACACAACTGATTGGCTCCTTGTGCTGCTTTTCTCTTTTCTAGTCTGGTTTGTGCTGTGCACAAGATTGATGTCAGGCCAAGTTTAGGTACACTACTTTCAATTAAAAATACATTTATTGATGTATTCTTAAATTGTATGCTGCATTATTGATGTATTCATCTGCATAGAGTTCAGCTTTTATTGTACTAAACAAGTTTCACTATCTTCTAATTTTACATTTAATGGAAAATATATTTTCTCAATATTCATTTTCAGAAAGTTGCACAACTGAAAGGCACAAAAGTAAACACCAGTAGTCCTTCTGTGTCTGCACCGACCTCACAAGTGACTAAAAGGAAAGGGCCAAGTGTAGAGAGTCAGGATATAAAGAGAGTAAGAGGTAAGATTTGAAACCCAGAAAAGACACTTTACCAAGCCCCTTCCCATCAGACTGGGGCAGTGGGATTATACATTTTAAAGTCTACAGACAGCCTGTTGCCTTGTTTAGATTTTATGACAGATTATAACTGATCCTTTGTGCAGTATAGTAATAAGTGATATGCAGGTTTTAATTTGATTTGGACTTAGCATATTTTGTATGAAATGACAAGGATTGCTCAACTTTACTTTTCCATTATTGTTTAAGTGTTCATATTTACACAATTTATTTTACTTTCACTGCATTTGCTACACTAAGGGGGGCATTTATAACAAATGTCACTATCCACCCTCTGCTATATATCACAATGTATTTTTACACCACACCCCTGCATTTTATGACTTGTTCATAAAGTGCAGCCCAAAACCAGGAGCCTGCAGTGTCCTACGGAGTTTTCTTTCACTACCCAAATGCAGGATGTCTTCGGTAGGATTTTTTTTTTTAACTATGCTGTTAGGAAGAATAGCAATCCATATAGATTAAGAGCGAGATCGTGTGAAACGCGTTAACAAGTCCTATATTCATGTCCTGGTGTTTTGTGTGTCCTAAGGATCAATAAATACACACTATATTCATCTATCCTTGGGTGTGCGGCTGACCCCCTTTTTCCTATTGCATCGTTTGTGATGGCAAGCCAGAGCCTGCACCTGTTGATCTAGATTGTTTGCCTGAGTGGTATACATCTGTTCTTTGGATTTATACATTAGTACTATGCTTGCTTCAGGACTGCTAAGCACAATTGTACAGCACCTTGCTGTATCTTTTTTTTTTTTTTTTTTTTTCACACTAGTATGGATGTACCACTGCTTTCATAAGTAGGCCCCTAGGTCTTTTTTTTATACACATGATGATAATTTAAATGCATATAGGAAGTATACAGGTGTATATCAGAAGACATTTTTGCTATTCCCTTGTAATTTTCAAACAATTTTATAAAATATTGTTAGATCAGGCTGTGGACACTCTGAAGTTTGTTATATTATTACCTATAAAATGTATTCTACATTTATTTCTGTTTGATGCACTTCTAATGCATTGTTTTCTTTCTGATAAAGTTTCTAAGCTGCGCATTAAAAACAAACTCAAAGCACTTGCATATTCAATTGTTTTTGTGGCCTTTCCCTAGACTCAGAGGAACAGACTTCAGCTTCATCAACCACTTCTGCGTAAGTGTTAGCCACACTGTTGTAGCCGTTGTTAAAATGAATTAGTTCTTAATTAATAGAAATGCACCCAGATAAAGAGAAATCAAATAGAGACTTGGAACTGAAAAACCAAATCCCCAGAAAAATAAGTGATTCTAACCAAATGCAAATTATATCCTGCGGTAGGAGAGGAACACTCTCGTTTGACTCCTTAACCACTTGCCGTCCGCCTGTTGTTTTTAAACGGCAGGGCGGTGGCACTCCAGGGGCGGGTTGCCGTTCATAAACGGCACCCACTATTTCTAGTTGTGCGCGCTCCCTGGGAGCGCGCAGCACCGCGATCCGGTGCCGATCATGTGATCACTGATTGGCCAATCAGTGATCACATGCAAAGTAGTAAGCAAGATGTCACTTGTGACATCATTGCTTACTACGGGTGAAATCTGTGAATGATCACAGAGGTCACATGGTACAAGGCTATTCACAACAGCCTTGTACCATGTGACAAGCTCTGACCAATCACAGCTCACACAGTATTTCTCAATGGCTGCAAGAATGCAGACAGAGAGAAAGAGAAATGATTGCTTTTACATTCTATATGGGTGTAAAAGCAATCACTGTAAAAAAAAAAAAAAAAATCTTCATCACCCCCCACAAGTAGTACAGTGTCACCATGGTGAAACTGCACTGCTAGGGTGACGGTATGTAAAAAAAAAAAAAAAAAAAAATAAAATTAAAAATGTAAAAATAAAATGTTTAAAAATTATAATTTTTGGTTATAACTAATTTGGTGTATTTTTTTTTTTTTTTTTTACTAAAAAATGGAATAAATTTTGGCCAAGATTTATGATGAAATATTATTTTTATTTGCAAAATCTTATAAGAAAAACACTTTTTTCAAAATTGTTTGAACTTTTTCATTTATATAGCAAAAAAAATAAAAATCCCAGTGGTGAATAAATACCACCAAAATAAAGGTTTATCTGTCTCAAAAAAATGGTAAAAAATTCATATGGGTACAGTGTTGCATGACCGCACAATTGTCATTCAAAGTGTGATAGCGCTGAAAATTGCCCTGGACAGGAAGGGGGTGAAAGTGTCCGGACAGGAAGTGGTTAACAAAATCCTGTTACAGTTTATAGAAATAACAGTGTCCACTGTGTGAAAGCACATATGGTCTACTTTTTTTCAATTTGCTTTGCAAAATATTTCAACATTCGTGCAAAATGAATGAATAATACTGATAATGTTTGGAATATGTGTGTAATAGCTTCTTTTTTTTTTTTGCTTTTCTCTGGGTGAATGTAACATTCCCTAACATGAGATCCTAGGAGGAAAAAAGACCTAAGAACGCTATAGACTAAGAACATTTAACCAGCAGGAGAAAGAATATGCAAGAGACCTCTGCATTGTGTAGTCTATGGAGATTCCTGTGTGATCAGCCATACAAATGGGTGTTCCACTGAGCGAACCTTCAGCTGCAGTGTGAATTGAAACATTTAGTGGTGGTATTATTATAATGCTTAATGTGACAGCTTTCTTCTGGTTGTTAGGGAGCTGGCATCCCTAACAACCAGTGACTCATCCCTGCCTGGCACATTCAGCTGTCAGTTGGGGATTCTTGACTGACAGATGAATGTCAATAAACAGAGAGGATAGTTTAAAGAAAAAAAACAGCATGGGGTTCCCCCCAAATTCCCTTTTAGACCCTATGAATCTGATATGGATTTTTAAGGGGGATCCCCCACACAGAAAAAGGGAAAGAAAGCAATGGAGTCTCCCCCAAAATCTATACCAGACACTTATCCGAGCACACAACCTAGGTGGCCAGAAAAGGTGGTGGGGGGAATGGATGTGCACCTCCTTCTCCCTTAACCATGCCAGGCAACATGCCCTCAACATGGGGGTGATACCATAGTAGTGGGGACCCCCTGGCAAAGCACCTTGTTCCTATATTAAGGACAGAACCACATCCATAACCAGCCCAGGGTTGTGGGTAGTTTGTGGGAATGGGGCTTTATCAGAATCTGGAAGAAAAATATGGGGGCCCCCAGATACTGCCTCGCTTGCAGTGTACAATTTGCCATAAATCCCATTGTCCAGTGATGCAAATGCTTGTCTGTCACGATGACTGACAGCTGCCAACCTGCCGAATGGAAAAAAAAAATCGCCAAACCCTTTCGAACATTGCTCCCGCAATGTAGGCAGAGGGGTGGGGTCTCCAGGTGAGCCATTGACATGAGCACATTTGGTCATTGACCTCATAGTATTTCTGGCCATTGGGCATCATGATTGACATAGATCTGCATTGCTTGACAATGTAATTAATGGTGAATTTACATGGGACAATTTTCTGGCAGACTTAACTGTGACACAGCTATTGGAGCTGTTAGTGCCTGGGTTGCCATAATACCAGACACGCTGAACCCCCATAATCCACATACATTCTGTGATTACCCTGAAGGACCCTCACTAGGCATTGGAGGATTATAGGTGCTTATGAACAGGAACACATGGGACAGACAGCAGTGTGTCCACTGCAGGCCTGAAGGAAATGCCAAGTTCTTTTCAAGTTGTTAGCAGTGCCATTGTTCAAGAGTAAGGTCTAACACCAACACTGCTCCAGCCCTATCACTCAAGTTCCCTTACAGGCGCTCAACATGCAGCCTTTTTGACTAAGGCAGAGTTTACAGCCACTATGTTTGACTAATTATAGAGGCTATCTCTGCTTCTGGAATCAGAGGGCGCTATCGGCTTTAAGAATTCCTTTGCCTCTCTGTACCCTGACTATAATTCTAGCCTAAAACCAGAATTGCTTAATACACAATATAGTGGAGGCGCCCCAAGATTTTTTTTCCACCACAGTTTGTGAAAGTTACATCCTTACCCTCTTGCCTTATGTTGGCTACTGTAAATTCATTGACCTAGTCTTTTGATAGGTGCGGCTAGCGCTGCACAGTCCCTCGTGTTCGAAAACGCTAAACATAAAAAAGAGGGCCTTCTGTAGAAATCCCTTTTCCACTCTGGATCAGGCAAGTTGAGACTTAGGGAATGATAGGCTGAGCTCAGAGAAGTTATTCCCCCAACTTCGAAGCCTTTTATCCTATGGATGCATGCTTTAACAAAAAATGGTTCACCTCACTGTGGATCTGGCAATTCTTTCCCTGATTTGCTCAATCTACCATTCCTGTCAAGGGCACTCTCTCCTGATATAGATAATCTGAATCTTTATTAAAATGTACAGCTCTTGCTCTTGGCCCTACTATTCTGTGTAGATTCTAGGGAGAATGAGATTCATCAGATCTCCAGAATGTCTTTGATTTTTGTGCATATGTGCAGAGTCCTAAGGCTTAAAGCTTGTGTGAATTATCCATTGTGGAAAAGGTGCCTTTTGTCTTGCAAGGGCAAACTTCTTTTAGGCAGTTCTCTTTGGCAATTCTCTTCATGAACACTTTAAAAGAGCTATTGACAGGAGACGGTTCAGACCCCATTATCCAATTTCACAATTTCCCTTGGAATGGGTATCCCCTACTTTATAGATTAGATCTGATTGTCTCCCTCAGGCAAAATTATTATCTATTTTGAGCCCTTCCGGTTATGACAAACTTCTAAGCCCTTTGAAACAGCTTAAAAGCATTCCTCATACAGAAGATTTGCCCCCATTACAGAGCTGAAAGGGTAGTCTACCTACACATATCACAACTTAGGGAAAGGACTTCTGGAGCTTTTCTTTATTTTTCTTTTTACACAGGGTGGCTAATTAACCTTAATTGCTAATTGCCTTCCTTCTAGTTTCTATTTTTTCCTGCTACTTGGGCAAAAACAAGACTTCTCTAATCTCATTCTGACCTTACAGGTCTCTCCTTCCTGCTTGGGAAACTTTTCCCTATTCTATTACCAGCTCTCCTTTTCTAAATGAACTTTATATACCAAGATCCATTGGCATAAAATAATTCAGTAATTGGATTCCCATGAGGGCTCCTCTGACCCAGCCTTTACCCAGCCTGTCTACTCTACAGTTAGGCATTGCCAAAACTTCTGTATACCTGTGGCTAGATCTCTTCTGTCATTCAATTTCTTTCCTTCTTGCAAAGGCAGTGTGATGGGTTATACTTCCCCTCGTCCATGTATCCCTGTAAGCTTTTTCTTTCTGACAAGATCAAAATGTTCAAATTTTGTGTTGCTGGATTATGTTTCCTCAACTCCTGAGACAACCAGGGGATCACTCTGAGTCTTGTGGTCATAGACCTCCTAAACCTGTTCCCTGGCATCCAGTACCTGACAATTGCTGCTCTCCATACTCCCTTAAGGGCGTGCCAATGCCCTACCATGATTGTTTTCTATCGGTTGCCCAGTTCCTTCCAGACACACTCCTCCAGTACGACTTTCTAGTCTATGCCTGATCCATGCTACAGAAAATTAAACAAAAAGTGTCCTTGTCAGTGCTATGTGCTGTTCAGTTCAGTTCTGATACGGCACCTCATCCTGAGTTACTTATTAGTCCTTCAGCCTGGCCCAGTTTATAGTGTCTAAATTTTGTACTCTGTTAGTCTTGGTTTCCTTTTCTTTTACAGAGTAGCCTGGTAGCTGTTTCCTCCTTGCATCCATTGTGCTTCTTATTGTCATTTGAGAACATCTATTCTTTGTCCACCATGTACTGCAGGACGGCACAGCATTGTAGTTTTTTGTCTCCTTTAGGGGTCAGGCAGGAGTTCTATTGCTAGTTGCCATGTTTCCTTTAGAACCTGCCCCCCCTTTTCTGTTAATTCTTTACTGGAAGGGTCTCCTGGGGTTTCCTACCCCTTTCATCTACCTAGATTTTTTTTGCCTTTTAACAGCGCTTATGCCTTTATGAGAATGAGTATTTCCTTCCCAGCCATTCTCCCATTGAGGTCCGGTTTTGAGGCCTATACAGCGTCTAAAAATTCTCCTGTGAGCAGAGCCACTGCCTAAATTCTGTTTCACATGTCTCCCAAACTGTTGGTTACCAGGCGACTGTTGAGTCTCTACTGTAGCTTCCTCTGGCAGCAAAGTGTTCTACAGTTAAGTTTATTTGGGTCTGTTGACCCTTCTTGCTCCTTCCAAATCGGCCTTTTCTGGCTGTTTAAGCTGTATTGTTGTCCATCCCTCAATTACTGCTTGGGGACATTCCATGGTCTATGCATCAATCCCTGTGTCCTCTACTGTATGATGAAAACAAGAGGAATTCTGATGCACCTGTAAATTCCATATTTCTGAGTAATATACAGGATGCAGGTCCCTTCCCTCCCTTTTGTATGTTCTTTATATTGCATGCTAACAAAACTGGAACCTCACGAATTTGGCAGGGTTATATGGAGACACCCCCAGCTAAGTTTTTGCCAGTGCCCATTCACCTGAAGGTAGCAGCATGTAACCCATGGTCTGTGAATCCATTCCTGTGTCTTGTAATGTATTCAATGGGGACACAGCAGTAAATAGTTGACAGAGGCTGTAACTGTTATCTACTTTTATACAAGAGTGGTCCAGAGTAATCTATAAAAAAAGTGTGGCATTATACTTTAACACATTGCGAGGTTTGGAACTTAAAAGTTGTTTACTAATAATTAAATGCAATAAACGTATGCAGTTGGATAGTTATACATGTAATCAAAAGGTTAATTACCAGCTTTGGGTGACCAATAAAATCATTTAGGTACCTTTCTAGTACTATCCTGGACACAACCAATACAAGAAATCCTTCATGTCACTGTTCTCTGCAGTTTTTGTTTAGGAACCATTCACACCAACAGCAACTGAAAAAAGACAGACAACACTAACATTTCTAAGAAGAATCAAAGTTGCCTTTTTGCCACTGTTGTACAAACATTTTATAAGTGTCCTGAGTATATTTCTATAATTAAGAATGTTTAAAGAAAATTACAATGAGTGTTATGAGCACTTTACTGTCCCTGAGCATAGTTCTCCTGGGTGGTACCTCGGGCTATGAGGCATGACCCGGTCTGCTGACTATGTCTTAAGGGAGCAGGAAGAATACAGTATTAGGAGATACCTTCTGATTGACTTGGGCAGAAGTGGTGTTGGGAGAAACGAAGATCACTGGAAATAGTGTTGCATGAGCAGATAATTAAAAAAACTGTCCTGTTACTGAAGATGGCTAGAGGTAATGCCCTCTGTGCGTTGATGTGGCCTACAGAAACTAAAGCACACAGGTCACTGCCTGGGTTAAATTGTAAAATCCAGCAAGGCATGTGTCTTGCTTGAGCGGCATACCAAAGCCCTGACCTGGAGCTTTGTCATGGTCTGCCTGCTGAAAGCACCTGTTGTAGGAAAACCTTGAGCTCTGTTTTTTCATCCTAGGCTTCCAACTGGCTTTTTTGAGAAGTCCGATCAACCATCTCATAAACAGACTACAGTTAATGTTGCAAGTCTTCAGTTGTTGGCAGGGGATTATGATGATGATAATAATGAGGACGAGGCGAAAGATGAGAAGCAAGAGGAAACAAGCTCAGCAGCACCATCCCCTATCATACACAAATCCGCAGAAATCCCATTGCCTCCACCAACAGCACATGATGGCCTCCCACCAGGTGTTTCTTATTTATATGTATATTACTGAAATACAGTTCTAGCCTTTAATATTTGTAATGTTTTGTAGGCAATGTAAGCTTGCAATTATCTGTAGTATTATCTTCTCTCACCTACACAAGTCATGTTTAACTAACATATTAAATGGCATATTGCACTGCTGGGCACAGGTGTTCTCCAGCATTCCTCTTATTCACAAATTTCTAACAAATTGGCTATATGCTAAACTCTTATACAGTACGATAATATATTGTCATACTTCAAACAACATCAATCCTTGGAAAGAATAAACGTATTTTGTATGCAGCAAGGAAGTCAGCACTTTGACAAGTGTGAGAACTATGGATATTGGCAGATCAGTATATGGCTGTTTACGCTGGTTGATGGGAGTAGAGTGGATGGACACTGGTTTCAATGCCATACACATCATGTTCATCCATCTGCATGACTTCTAATAGAGGTGTGTAGAAGTGAATACGAGTTGAGTAGTGATTTGTCTCAATTCAGATCTATTTTATATGATGGAATAGGGACCTGCCTCTGTAAATCGTACATAGTGAAATTGAGCTGCACTTGATTATAGATGATGCATTTAATGCCATTTGAGGATGGATACTCAAAAAGTTTGTCTAATGTATATTGTGGATTAACAACTGAAATTGTTAGAAGTATGACAACATATTAGAGGGTTGTATTAGGGCTTGGTTTTAAAGGGTATGTGTAGCCAAAGTAAAAAAACACAAAAATCGGCACAAGGGACATGACATGATTTACAGTCAGTAGGATTTGTCCCTTGTACCAATATTAGGTGATATTTTCCTCTTTCCATGCTCCTGCCACCCTCATCACCATAATCTTCTGGTGCGGTGGGGGTTAATAGAACTGTGGGCGCTCTCACTGGCTCTCCTCAAGAGTGCCCGACTATGCCCACATTTTATGCCCAGCACCAGCATTCATAGTAGCTTCTATGAATGAAACTTGATCTATGGATGGAGGATGGGTGGATGATAGCCCCACCCCCTCCATACGTAGGTCACACTTCATTCATAGAAGCTGTAGTATGGCTTATATGGATGGAGCAGCTGTGTGGAAAGGCTGGCCATTGTCGGGGACTCTTGATGAAAGCCTGCGACAATGGCTACAGTTTTATTAACCCCCACCACACCAGAAAGATTGCAGTGGCGTGGGTGGGGGGATTGGACAGATTTAGATTTCACCAAACAGTAGAGGCATCAACACAAGGGACAAATCCTACTGACTGTAAGTTATATTCTTTATGCTGATTTTTGTGTTTTTGGTATTTTGTTTTTCATTTTGGCTACACTTATACTTTTATATATACACAGTGTGTGTGTATGTATTTGTGTGTGATATACAGTTGTGTTCAAAATAATAGCAGTGTGTTGAAAAAAGTGAATAAAGCTCAAAATGTCTAATAGCTTTTATTTCCATCCACACAAATGCATTGGGAACACGACACATTCTATTCCAAATCAAAACGTGAAGAAAATATATCAAATTTGTGTTGTTCCTCTAAAAAAATGGAAGAAAAGTGAATATTAGACTGTTCAAAAAAATTGCCGTGTTTGTATTCTTCTTTACAAACTCAAACATTCACTATATAAACTGAAAAATGTTTGAAGATTTTGCTTTCCTTTGAATCACTTAATGAATATTTGGTTGTAGTCGCACTGTTTCTGAGAACTGCTGTACATCTGTGTTGCATGGAGTCACCCAACTTCTGGCCCCTGTGATCAGGTATTCCAGCCCAGGATGATTGGACTACATTCCACAGTTCTTCTCTATTTCTTGGTTTTGCCTCAGAAACTGCATTTTTGATGTCACCCCACAAGTTTTCTATTGGATTAAGATCCGGGGATTGGGCTGGCCACTCCATAACGTCAATCTTGTTGGTCTGGAACCAAGATGTTGCACGTTTACTGGTGTGTTTGGGGTCGTTGTCTTGTTGGAACACCCATTTCAAGGGCATTTCCTCTTCAACATAAGGCAGGATGACCTCTTCAAGTATTCTGATGTATTCAAACTGATCCATGATCCCTGGTATGCGATAAATAGGCCCAACACCATAGTATGAGAAACATCCCCATATCATGATGTTTGCACCACCATGCTTCACTGTCTTCACAGTGTACTGTGGCTTGAATTCAGTGTTTGGGGGTCGTCTGACAAACTGTCTGCAGCCACTAGACCCAAAAAGAACAATCTTACTTTCATCAGTCCACAAAATGTTGCGCCATTTCTCTTTAGGCCAGTCAATGTGCTCTTTGGCAAATTGTAACCTCTTCAGCACATGTCTTTTTTTCAACAGTGGGACTTTGCGGGGGCTTCTTGCAGATAGCTTGGCTTCACATAGGCGTCTTCTAATTGTAACAGTACTCACAGGTAACTTTACACCTTCTTTGATCTTCCTGGAGCTGATTGTTGGCTGAGTCCTTGCCATTTTTTGGCTATTCCTCTATCCATTTGAATGGTAGTTTTTCCCTTTCTTCCACGTCTTTCAGGTTTTGGTTGCCATTTTAAAGCATTTGCGATCATTTTAGCTGAACAGACTATTATTTTCTGCACTTCTTTATATGTTTTCCCCCTCTCCAATCAACTTTTTAATCAAGGTACGCTGTTCTTCTGAACAATGTCTGGAACGACCCATTTTCCTCAGAATTTCAGAGAGAAATGCACTGTAACCAGCATGTACAACATTTGCTGCCTTCCTTCCTTTAAATAAGGGCAATAATTGCCACCTGTTTTTCAAAGAATGAATGACCTCACTAATAGAACTCCACACTGCTATTATTTTGAACATGCCCCTTTCAATGAGTGATTCAATTACACAGAATCAGCAGCATGCATGTCATGACTGTTGGGTCTGTTGGATTTCTATTACTCTACTACACCGGCTAGTAAATTATTTGCCATGTAGAAATATCATTTCTACCAAAAACAGTGATTGATCAGGTTAGTGATGTCTGACTGCTATTATTTTGAACACAACTGTCTATTACTGATCAACCATAACATTATGACCACTGACAAGTAAACTGAATAACATTGATTATCTTGGTAAAATGGCACTTAAACCGTGTGAGGGATATATTAGACAGCAGGTGAACATATTGTCTCTGAAGCGGAAGGATTTGAGTGACTTTGACAAGCACCAAATTGTAATTGCTAGACGACTGGGTCAAAAGCATCTCCAAAATGGTGGTTCTTGTGGACCCTACCAAAAGTGGTCCAAGGAAGGAAAACTGGTGACATGGTCATGGGCAGCTAAGGTTTATTGATGCAGGTAGGTAGCAAAGGCAAGCCTGTGTAGTCTGATCTGATAGAAGAACTACTGTAGTTCAAATTACTGAAAATGTTAATGCTGCTTTCAGTAGAAAGGTGTCAGAACACAGTTTGTTGTGTATGGGGCTGCGTAGTTGCAGAACCTTCAGGGTGCCCATGCTGACCCATGTGCACAGCCAAAAGTGCCTACAATGGGCATGTAAGCATCCAAACTAGACCACAGAGTAATGAAATGTGTCTGGGTTTCATGAATTCGAGAATAGTTTAGGGAACACAACTACAGGTTCAAGGTGTTGACTTAGCCTCCGAAGTCTTCAGATCTCTGTCCAGTCAAGTATCTTTGGGATGCACAGGAAAAACAAGATCCATGGAAGCCCTACCTTGCAACTTGACGGCTTGGTGCAAGATACCACAGCATGCCTTCAGAGGTCTAGTGGAGTAGAAGTCTCTACAGGTTATGATGGATGATCATAATGTTATGGCTGATCGATGTATATATTACATATTATCACTCACTTTTTTTTTTTATAGTACATCTTGCCTGAACCAGTAAGGTATCGGTGTATATGTATGCTGGTGTACAGTTTTTAGAGCCACCAAACAGGGCTGCATATGACCTTCTAAATATGTACCCAGGTGAGCTCCTCTAGCAGTGTGTGTGTTTTATATTTATTTATTTATATATATATATATATATATATATATATATATATATATATATATATATATATATATATGTATATATATGTGTGTGTGTATATGTATATGTATTTATGTATGTGTGTGTATATATATATATATATATTATATTATAAATTATATATTTATATTTGTGTGTGTGTATTTTTTTTTTTTTTTTTTTTTTGTAGCTGCACTTGAGCACTCACATGCAAGCCTATTTACACTGTACTGCACATAGCATGTATTACATTGCAGTACATGGATCACATGTTTTTTTTAAGCATGCTATGGTACGTTGAAAGCCCATTCATTTTGCCTCGATACAGCTCACATTACCCTTTGTGTTTGACATGTTAATGTAATTTTCAGTCTGTTTAAAATGTAAGTTATCCTTTTAAATAAAACCTGGTGATCCTACCATGAATGTTCTTTCACAGGTACTTTCTGGTGTCTGTGCGCTGTCCCTGCTTTCAGTTGCGCCCCTGTGTTGTCATCTTAACACATGCTCCTCTGGTGCAGGCTATAAGTGACTGCGCTAGTGCTTATTGTGATGGCATGGTCTCCCATTGTAGTCAAGCGTATGTAGACAGAAAAGGACTGAAGGACACTACGGATCATAAATGTCTTCCAGTTAGGGTTTAGAGCTATGTAATACCATTTGCTGTTTTCTATAGATCTTTTTTTATGTTGCGTAGTTTTATTTTTGGTAATAACTTTTTTTTATGTATGTGTCCTAAATCACGCAAGAGTGTTTTTGCAATAGTAGTTCAGCACAAAATATAGCACTGCTCCTGTTTTAGCCTCCACAGGTCTGTGATGACCTTATCTTGCTGTTAAGCCAAAGATTTACATGCAGCTGTACTTTTCATCTATTTTATGTTTCCTAATTTTTAGTGATTAGTAATAACGGCGAAGAGTACTGTTTTTTAAAATATATTGCTATTGCACCATTGCATCTGGTTTATGTGGATCAAACTACAAACAACGAGAGATTGCTGCATGTTTAGTGTGTTTTTTTTTTTTTTTTTAAAGCCCAACTGCAGGAGTTTGAAAACAAATCTACCCTTGCAGTGGGGCCCCCTTGCATTACAAAGGTTAAATGCATTGTTATGTTCAGGGGGTAGGCACTTACCCTATTCTCTACTCTGACCCCCCTGGCATTGCCCTCTTCTTCTGATGCTCTGGGCTGGAGGCCATCTCACTGTCATCACTTACAATTCAGGGCTATTAAACCTGCAAAGGTATTTTTTGGGGGGCCTATTCTCAACACAGTGTTTGTGTGCTGAGATGAAATAACTCCAGATTGACTACCGCAGGATGATGTAACAATCAACATGGCCACAGACCTGACACCAAGAAGAAGTTGGAGAGAAGATGCCGCCAAGGGACCTTATAGACTTTGGATTGTTGGGAAGCGGGGGTTGAATATTTGCAGGGTTTAGGTCCACTTTAAAGCTTTGCCTGCACTATTCAACCTCAGTCCAGAGATTTCCCCAGTAGTACTTTTTCTGCTGCAAGATGTCTTCAGTCCGATTGTCAGAATCATTCAACCTACCTCCTCTGAGCCTCCTAGACCCACCTACGGAGTGACAGGAAAAGCAGCACAATTCTGTCACTCTGCTTTCTCTTCCTATCTGCATATATCTTGCTAGCACATGGACTGATTTGCTCCTTTCATTGCATCTTCGTGCTGTACAGGGACTACAATAGGCTGATACCACGTCAACCAGGCTTACATTTTAAAATACATTTATAAATACATTTAATAACGTATTAATGATTGTAGAGCTTCAGTAATTTGTTTCTTTTACATCTGCCTAGAGTTTGACTTTTACTATCTCCTTTCTCCCTGTAGATTTCTTTGATAGTAAGACACCTGTGGTCTCCCATTCTGGGTCTATTTTGAAAGCTGACATTCAAGAAAAACCGGTAGACAGGTAAGAGTTGTATTTCAATATACTAGCACTTATAATGCAATCATGCAAAACAAATCTCTACCATAATATCAAGGCTAAAACTTAGTGGCAAATCCATCAATGTACTATCAATCTAAAACATGGGAAAACCTGTAAATTAAAAGACATGGCAGGTCAAATAAAAAAATGTGTAAACAAGTGAAAGATGGGTTTTATATTTCAATGGTTTTTAATAATTTTAATCAGTATAAAACAGAGGCAACAAAAACATGCCCCCACAGGGGCTATCAATTGCACCGATAATAAAAAACATAATAGAGAAACAGTGCTCTAACTCCAACAAGGCAGAAGGTACGCCCACGCAGGGGCTATCAATGGCACATAAGTTACAACAACATTAATGAAACTCTGACTATAACAACTAAAGGCAGCTGTCCACTGTCGCCCAAAAACTAACAGAAAAAGGGAGAAAAAAGAAAGGGAAAAAGAGCAGGGGTCCAAGAGCGCCACCACCGAACGCCAATGCCAAACGCCATTACATCTCCATACTAGCCAGAGGGAGGGTGGGAAAGGCATATTGCAACCACGGTTCCCGTATTTTCGAACATTTACGTTGGGAGTCGTTGCATATACTTGATATCTGTTCATTGAGCATCATAGTGGTCATACGATCCCACACCCCCTGAAGAGGGACAAACGGACTCTTCCAGGCCTTACCAATTGTTCTAGTGGCCGATAAAAACAAATAGGACGCCAACTTCTGCTGATGAGCCAAGAGGCCCGGTATGGGGCAATGAAGCAAGGCATACCGAGCATCCCGGCGTATAGAGAGATGAAACAAAGTGAAAAGGAGGCCAAACACACGAGACCAAAAACGAACCAGTCTTGGGCATGACCACCAGATATGCAAGACATCGCCACGATGGCCACAACCCCGAAAACATCGATCACTACAGGCAGGGTTAGCCTGGGCTAAATGAGCCAGAACCCAATACCAACGAAACAATACCTTATAGGCTGCCTCCAGCGTGGACGTATTAAATGAGAAAGATGGGTTTTGAAAGACCTTGTCTGCAATTGTGGGAATAAAAGTGGGTAATGTTTGTTTGGCCCCTAATGAGCTATTATGCATGCTAGGCGTATAGTAAACCCCACAATGGGCTAAAAAGTGATGCAGCTTATGAATCCACACAATGCAGACCAACAGGAGTACAGTATATGTAAAGCATCCTTTCTGGTTAACACATGGAATAAACATAGCTTCCTAGGTTGTAGGTAAATATTGAATAACTTTTGCTGCTTAAAGAATTCTACTGTATCTTGCAGGCTAAGCAAAACTTCTGGCAAAAAGGGTATCTGCTTTACTGAAGTGCAAACAAAAAAAAAAGAAATGTTGGACAAAAGATGCAATATTGTTGAAAGGTTAAGTGTTTTGGGTCAAATGGAGAATTAATCAAAAAGTGTAACAGGCTATTAAAAAGTTGTTTATAAACTAAAATGTGGGTGGTCACAGCAAGCAACAGAATGTGTTTCTTATACTGTTTTGTATATGGATTAGTGACAACTGGTGCAACTTATACAGGTATTCCCTTGTGCTGCTAACTTCTGCTTTAGTTGAAGTCTTCCTCTTCTAATCCACCCCACCCCCAAGGCTGTAATCTTATGGTGAAGGATGAGCAGATGAATGAAAAGTCCAGCTTCTCCATTCATAGAGGTGTTTGTTTGTTTTTTATTTATAGACACTATAGTGCAACTTCTATGAATAGAGGAGGGTGGAATAATTTGTATTATGGATGAGTGCATGACAGGTCCTTCGATTCTGTTAACCCCCCCGCCACACTGTAAGAATATGAGGATAGGGGAAGAGGGATTGGAGAAGGATACGACGGATCCAGTGCTGGGACAAGGTACCGTACAGGGCAAAGATGCCAAACTGTGCTTCCCCCAAGATGTGTGAGCATCATGTGTTGGAAAAAATCCTTACTAGTATTGATCTCCTCCAGTAAATCCTTTTCTTAGCACGAATCCTCTTCCCTCTCCCTTAATCCTGTCATAGCACAAATTCCCCCTCTTAGCACATATCCCTTCTCTCCCAAATCCCACTTCTAGCACATATCCCCTCCCCCTCCCAAATTTTCCCTCTTAGCACGAGTCTCAACCCCCCCAAATCTCATCTTCTAGAACAAATACTCTCATTCTCAGCACAAAGCTTTGTTACTCCCCCTCTTCCACACTTAAACATACAGACCTCAGATGCAACACGGCAGATGACTGGAATGTCCCTCCTCCTAGGCTCCTCCTCGTCCTGACAAAAGCAATCTAGAGAGTAGGTGGCTAAGGATGTAAATTAGCAGAAAGATGCAGATTCGGGGCGGGTAAGCAAACCCTGCACAGTTATGATCTGACAGCATTCTTGTGCTAACTCCTGTATGCAGGAGAGCTACACTGATGGGAGGAGCTGGAGGTGGGAGAGAGCACAGCCGTCACCTCCTTCTGGCTCCCTTGTACTCTCCAAATTTGGCTTGCCATTTCCAGCGCTAAGCTGACAGAAGTAGTGATGCTGCTGTCACTATTATTGTAAGCCTCTCACAGTGAGAATTCAGCATGTGACGCCTCGCCCCCCCCCCCCCCCCCCCCCTTTCTCCTTGTTCCAAACCTGTCTGTATTCTTCAGAAGTGCTTAGTGAACTATAGTCGGGAAGTGCATACTGAGCACATTACTTGTTCATGTGCCTTTGGGACTGTATGTCTCAGCATTCCTAGTGCCATGCCCTATCTTCATAGGCTCGGCTTCAGGAGCTACATTTATTCTGCTAGATCAGGGGAGGATCATGGGGGGCCCTGCTTTGCTATACTTTGGCTTTGGAGCTGCCTGAATGTGCAATGGCAATATAAGGAGGTAGTGCTGTAGCACCAGCCCAGAGCATGCATGCAGGGGTGCTCCATGGAACTCTGCAAGCAAATGGATCCACCCTAATAAAGGAAACCATAAAGGGAGGATGTTAGGAGGTCAGAACTATATGTATTTTTAATAAAAAATGTTTAATATTTTGCAATATCTTCCAGGAAGGTTGTGGTGTTTTTCAGTGGCTGCAGCGATGTTTTATAATTCCCGGCTGCGGTATATACACTGTTTGTAGCAAAGTCTGAGAAGCAATAAGGCTATGAGAAAACGTGTATGAGCTCTCCCAGCATGTTACTGATCTACTTCCAAGAACTCCTACAGTGTCTCCATATGTCTGTTCAGTTTTACTGTAAAATGTTACAGGGGAGAAAAACAAGGGCAGCAGTTTCTGATACTTATATCATTAGATTTGTTCATAAAATTTAAAGGAAGAAAGAACACAAAAGAATAGAAATGGACTCTAGTGACTATTGCATTCCTTGTGTGCTTTTAAAACATTTTTTTTACAGAGAATTAAAGATAAAACATTACTCTCTTTTCAGGTTATCCACTTTTTTGGAGAGTTCATTTATTTTTATAAATAGTTTTCAAATAATCACTTTTCCAAAAACTGTGAAGCAGATTAAAAAAACTAGTTAAAAGGAATAATATGAATTAATATGCTTGTATTACACTCCTGCTTCCACCCACAGTGCCTAGACTGTGTGGACAGTTTTTCCTGAACATCTGGTATCAGAGCCAAAACTTTCTCCCAAAATGAATGGCTGATTGGGCATAGCCACCAAATGTGAGCATGGGTCACTCTCATCCCACAGGATCTCCAACAAAGAGGGGATACTTTGGGAAACAAGTCTGATTTTTGTTTATAATCAGATATTATGTACAATTAATTTTTTTCAAAGATGAATAGGAATTGATATATTCAATTGGGAAGCTGTCATCATCCATTATAGAACAGTAATATTCCCAAGGGACAGTTCGCTCACTTCATTGTAATTGTGTGTTCGAGGATGATTATCATAAACAGGCTGCTATATTGAAAAATAGATTAGTGCAGAAAAGATATTCGATGTCAATAAACAAGACCATTGAACAGGTGTCGCAGTTGGATCGGGCTACCTTAATAGAATATAAAGAACCAGATGAGAGATGGAATAACAATGCAGAGTGGGCTTTTTTACCAGTTATAATTATCAATATATAGGAGATAGTACATATTTAATGATCATTGGTATATTTTATAGAAAGATAAAGTATTGAGACCTCATCATTCAAAAGACCCCAGTGTATTTATAGGGAGAATATATACCGCTTTGCAATATGATTGGGCGTAATATAAAATGTCACAATTTGATGATAAAGTTTTTTTTGATATGTGGACATTTTTCCAGCTAGGAGACGAGCCCAATTCTTTTCTGCTGGTAATAGGAAGTGTGTTTTTTTTTTTTTTTTTTTTTTTAACTTTTTATGGCATGAGAATTCAGTTGACAGAATACAAAAATTTGCATTGTGAAAAGTATGCAAAGTGACAATATCTCACTATGGAGCAATATAACACATTTATTTATTTCAGGTACTCATAAAGCGCTGTCAATTTATGCAGCGCTGTACATATATGTTGTACATTCACATCAGTCCCTAACCCTCAAGGGGCGTACAATCTAAGGTCCCTAACTTACGTTCATACATACACATAGTAGGGCCAGTTTAGGCAGGATCCAACTGACCTACCAGCATGTCTTATAGTCAATGAACAGAAACACCTTAACAAACTCCTGTCTCCTGTGTTGTGCATCTATATGGTGATCGAAGGGTACAGTATAAGAACCAAAAAAGTGCAATCAAACCTCCCACAGATACTTCACTTTTAGACATGTAAACATCAACTATTGAAGGTTATAGTTTGGGCTGAGTTACACCACACGTCCCAGATCTAATAATATTTACGAGGGCAACCCCTATGTTCGTATATTTTTTTTCATAAGGGGAATTTAGTTAACAGCATTAATCCACTGATTGGGGAAGAGATCTGCATCCACTTAAGTACAATCTATTTCTGCGTCAAAATAAGGTTTCTTTAAGAAATATCCTGACAGTTCTAGGCCAGAGTTTTTTGT